CATTCATTTAGAAGTGTTTAGAAACATATTATATTCTTATTTACAATAACAGTGCCTCCAAAATGACACAATACATTATGTACCATTAATTTCTATTGGGCACAACATAATCTGAAACACAACAAAAACAAACTGCAAATGCATCCAACAAGTTTGTAGAGTCACAAGCTTGATGTAGTCATTGCATGCTAGGAATATGGGACCAAATACTAAACCTTTGATTACTTTAATACACATACGATAATTTGTCCAAATACTTATGACACCTTCAAATGGGGGGACTAGATACGGTGGGGAGAACAAGTATTTGATACACTGCCGATTTTGCAGGTTTTCCTACTTACAAAACATGTAGAGGTCTGTAATTTATATCATAGGTACACTTCAACTGTGAGAGACGGAATCTAAAACAAAAATCCAGAAAATCACATTGTATGATTTTTAAGTAATTAATTTGCATTTTATTGCATGACATAAGTATTTGATCACCTACCAACCAGTAAGAATTCCGGCTCTCACAGACCTATTCGTTTTTCTTTAAGAAGCCCTCCTGTTCTCCACTCATTACCTGTATTAACTGCACCTGTTTTAACTTGTTACCTGTATAAAAGGCACCTGTCCACACACTCAATCAAACAGACTCCAACCTCTCCACAATGGCCAAGACCAGAGAGCTGTGTAAGGACATCAGGGATAAAATTGTAGACCTGCACAATGCTGGGATGGGCTACAGGACAATAGGCAAGCAACTTGGTGAGAAGGCAACAACTGTTGGCGCAATTATTAGAAAATGGAAGAAGTTCAAGATGACGGTCAATCACCCTCGGTCTGGGGCTCCATGCAAGATCTCACCTCGTGGGGCATCAATGATCATGAGGAAGGTGAGGGATCAGCCCAGAACTACACGGCAGGACCTGGTCAATGACCTGAAGAGAGCTGGGACCACAGTCTCAAAGAAAACCATTAGTAACACACTACGCCGTCAAGGATTAAAATCCTGCAGCGCACGCAAGGTCCCCCTGCTCAAGCCAGCGCATGTCCAGGCCCATCTGAAGTTTGCCAATGACCATCTGGATGATCCAGGGGAGGAATGGGAGAAGGTCATGTGGTCTGATGAGACAAAAATATAGCTTTTTGGTCTAAACTCCACTCGCCATGTTTGGAGGAAGAGGAAGGATGAGTACAACCCCAAGAACACCATCCCAACCTTTTCTGCAAAGGGGACAGGACGACTGCACCGTATTGAGGGGAGGATGGATGGCCATGTATCGCGAGATCTTGTCCAACAACCTCCTTCCCTCAGTAAGAGCATTGAAGATGGGTTGTGGCTGGGTCTTCCAGCATGACAACGACCCGAAACACACAGCCAGGGCAACTAAGGAGTGGCTCCGTAAGAAGCATCTCAATGTCCTGGAGTGGCCTAGCCAGTCTCCAGACCTGAACCCAATAGAAAATCTTTGGAGGGAGCTGAAAGTCCGTATTGCCCAGCGACAGCCCTGAAACCTGAAGGATCTGGAGAAGGTCTGTATGGAGGAGTGGGTCAAAATCCCTGCTGCAGTGTGTGCAAACCTGGTCAAGACCTACAGGAAACGTATGATCTCTGTAATTGCAAACAAAGGTTTCTGTACCAAATATTAAGTTCTGCTTTTCTGATGTATCAAATACTTATGTCATGCAATAAAATGCAAATTAATTACTTAAAAATCATACAATGTCATTTATTCTGCAGTAGTTGCATGGTTGATTTTTCACACACATCTCCATGATTCTTTTGGTTTTTGCTGTTTCTTAACTGTGCACACGTGTATGCCCAATTTAAGAGTCCATGTGTGTGCAATGTGCATACGTGTGCTCGTTTGTGTGTGTTCATGCTTATATAATGTGTCTGGCTTTACATGGCTCTGTGTGTGTGTGTTTTGTGTCTGTGAACACTGTAAGCACTTGGTGAAGCTGGTTGTGAGAATGCCAAGAGTGTGCACAGCAGTCATCATTAGATTCCGTCTCTCACAGTTGAAGTGTACCTATGATAAAAATTACAGACCTCTACATGCTTTGTAAGTAGGAAAACCTGCAAAATCGGCAGTGTATCAAATACTTGTTCTCCCCACTGTACATAAAGTGCTTTCATTTATAAACGGTAAAACAGATATGTATGAAAATACCCTCAAATAAAAGGTGACATTCTGTACTGTCGCCTCATATAAAACATTTGATCTCAAATCCAAAATGCTGGAGTATAGAACCAAATTAAAAGTTGTATCTTCACTGTCCAAATAAATACGTAGGGGAGTGTATGTACTTGTGTGGAGAATACAGTAGATACAGTTGAAGTCGGAAGTTTACATACACTTAGGTTGGAGTCATTAAAACTAGTTTTTCAACCACTCCCCACATTTTTTGTTAACAAGCTATAGTTTTGGCAAGTCGGTTAGGACATCTACTTTGTGCATTTTCCAACAATTGTTTACAGACAGATTATTTCACTTATAATTCACTGTATCACAATTCCAGTGGGTCAGAAGTTTACATACACTAAGTTGACTGTGCCTTTAAACAGCTTGGAAAATTCCAGAAAATGACATCATGGCTTTAGAAGCTTCTGATAGCCTAATTGACATCATTTGAGTCAATTGGAGGTGTACCTGTGGATGTATTTCAAGGCCTACCTTCAAACTCAGTGCCTCTTTGCTTGACATCATGGGAAAATCAAAAGAAATCAGCCAAGAACTGAGAAAAAAAATTGTAGACCTCCACAAGTCTGGTTCATCCTTGGGAGCAATTTCCAAACGCCTGAAGGTACCACGTTCATCTGTACAAACAATAGTACGCAAGTATAAACACCATGGGACCACGCAGCCGTCATACCGCTCAGGAAGGAGACGCGTTCTGTCTCCTAGAGATGAACGTACTTTCGTGCGAAAAGTGCAAATCAATCCCAGAACAACAGCAAAGGACCTTGTGAAGATGCTGGAGGAAACAGGTACAAAAGTATCTATACCCACAGTAAAACGAGTCCTATATCAACATAACCTGAAAGGCCGCTCAGCAAGGAAGAAGCCACTGCTCCAAAACCGCCATAAAAAAGACAGACTACGGTTTGCAACTGCACATGGGGACAAAAATCGTCCTTTTTGGAGAAATGTCCTCTGGTCTGATGAAACCAAAATAGAACTGTTTGGCCATAATGACCATCGTTATGTTTAGTGGAAAAAGGGGGGGGGAGGCTTGCAAGCCGAAGAACACCATCCCAACCGTGAAGCACAGGGGTGGCAGCATCATGCTGTGGGTGTGCTTTGCTGCAGGAGGGACTGGTGCACTTCACAAAATAGATGGCATCATGAGGAAGGAAAATGATGTGGATATATTGAAGCAACATATCAAGACATCAGTCAGGAAGTTAAAGCTTGGTCGCAAATGGGTCTTCCAAATGGACAATGACCCCAAGCATACATCCAAAGTTGTGGCAAAATGGCTTAAGGACAACAAAGTCAAGGTATTGGAGTGGCCATCACAAAGCCCTGACCTCAATCCTATAGAACAGTTGTGGGCAGAACTGAAAAAGCGTGTGCGAGCAAGGAGCCCTACAAACCTGACTCAGTTGCACCAGCTCTGTCAGGAGAAATGGGCCAAAATTCACCCAACTTATTGTGGGAAGCTTGTGGAAGGCTAACCGAAATGTTTGACCCAAGTTAAACAATTTAAAGGCAATGCTACCAAATACTAATTGAGTGTATGTAAACTTCTGACCCACTGGGAATGTGATGAAATAAATGAAAGCTGAAATAAATCATTATCTCTACTATTTTTCTGACATTTCACATTCTTAAAATAAAGTGGTGATCCTCACTGACCTAAGACGGGGAATGTTTACTAGGATTAAATGTCAGGAATTGTGAAAAACTGAGTTTTAATGTATTTGGCTTAGGTGTATGTAAACCTCCGACTTCAACTGTATGTGCATCGACGCTTGAGCAAAGAGGGCATTTCCTGCATTTCCTAGTTTCACATCTTTTTTTATTTTCTCACTTTCATTTCCTGTTTATATTGTGAGCTACTGTACTGTGCAAATGCTAAAATTGTCCTGCCAGTTATTTGAGTTTCTATGCCTAAGATAAATTATGTAAGTAAATCCACTGAAGTTGTTATACATGGGTAGTAATACTATAATACTACAGTAACAATATTGTTTTAGTAATTATATAGTAATGGAGTTGAGTGGCTTTTGCTATTACAAAAGTGGAATAAGGAGCAGTCCCTATTCCTCTTGTGTAATTACCAAAACTGCTCAACATGTAAACTCAATGTTGTTAGTGTAATTACAGCTCACTAGATTTGAAAAGGCCATCTCATATTGTAACATACACAGTAGGCCTATTCCACCAATGATTTAGCACTGCTAATGCAAGTGGAATGGTTACAGGGATAGCCTACAGTTTTTGTGATACAATAAATATTAAAAGATATCGATTATTAATGTTTACTGAATAATACTCACTGATCCTACATTCTTTTCAGTGTGATATTTTCAGTGTAGTTTATTATTTGAGATTTGCCCAGCAAAGGTTGCAGTGTGGTGTCATTTTTGCAGCGTTTGTGTTTTGGTTTGATCACATTACAATAGGTCCATCATGTATGCAACTTTCTCCTTTCAATTGAGAATTTTACCAACCATTAGGCACTTGAGAGTCATATTCAGTCATATTTAGAATAAAATACAGTGACGAATAAGAACAATCGCAGACAAATAAGGCCAGCGCCAAATGTCTCTGCAAGTACCTCCTCCTGCTCTCCCTCCACCAATCATCCGCCGTTCCCAGCTGCCTGCCTATATCACTTTTCGTGCCTGGGTTCAGCCAACCGGCTCGCTCCTTGCCGCTGACATCACTAACTAGCCAGTTCCCTCCAGCAGCACCAGAGAGCTTCATTTTCTGATCTGCATTTGTGTTCAAATGGAGGCTGGCTCCTTGCCTTAAGTGGATAGCCTTCTTGGTCGAGTTTACATGTTGACATGCAATAAAGCTGGAATCAGGATGGTTGTGGATGCACCTAATTCCAATGGGCCTTTCCAGCCGGTGGCTCTTATGCACTTCAGAGGTACGTAGGAACCATTGTTGCTTTTTGTCCTGGGGAAGAGAGAGAGCATTTCTCTAGCTGTTCTTTTCCCCTCCTTTGGTTCTTGGCTGATTTGTCACCAAGATGGGAAGATAAGCTTTAAGAGTCTTTGTTTCAGAAGAATTGATGTTTGTAAAGGGTTTTATTGTTTCCTTATAGGGGATCGGGGATGTTTGTCTTGGGGATTGCGTGCAGAGCTCCAAGAAAAGAGAGTGTGAAAAAACTGCTTTTACTACCCTCTCGCTCTCTACCCACCACCCCCACACAGCCCAGTGACGTAAAAGGAAGTGAGGTCATAGCCTAGGGAAGGGTTTTCAATCTCTCTCTCTGCGTGTGTGTGTGTGTGTGTGTGTGTGTGTGTGTGTGTGTGTGTGTGTGTGTGTGTGTGTGAGAGATAAATTATTATTTGTGTTTATGTGTGTGCTTATCTGTGTAAGTGTTTAAATTCGTTCTGCCTCTCTATTTGGTCCCGGCTCATGGTTTGTGTAACACTCCAATTCATCTGGGCACAAATTGTCCATAGCGTGTTGTAGACTACTGCCTCTACTGCAGCAGCCCCTCTCTGCCTCCCCACCCTTTTCCCTTTTCCCTCCTTCCTCTTCCCAATGGAGGAGAGGTTGCCACCGCTTAAGAGGGGCAAAAGCCTGTTATTACCTTCCCCTGAAACAACAAACCTTAATGAGGCACAGTTAGTAGGCTATAGGCTAGCAGATGGCTATTTCAGCTATAGGCTAGCTCCGTCAATAGGCTAGCTGCTAGCGCATTCAGGAAGCGTCATTTCCATGAGCACCAATGTGATGTTAATAGGCGCATGTCAAATTGGGTGTCAAACGAAAGCTAAGAGTATATATACATTTTTCTACCGTTTTCCATTCTAAAATGAGGAATAAGCAAAGGCACGGATTTCTTGTCAAACAGATGGAAAAGGGGACTTAGAAAACATCTACCAGAAAAAAGTCTTAAAAAGTATCAGAAATGCATCAAAACATCTTAATGTTGAAGTGCCAACTAATATCAACACTTATATTTAGTTTAGGGGAATTTGTACCGCTTTCTGTAAGTTTAAGAAACATTGCCTTGAAATTCCGTTACCAAAAACCTACATCTGTAAGATATTTTCTAATTTCTCTCCCTCATGAGTAGGGAGGATAATGAAAGTTCACAGAAGTAACAAGTAAAAGTAGACCTATCAATTACTTAGTGTTTTTACTGATATGAATTTAGTGTATGAATTATTAAGTGATTACAATTCAAAATTCTGTTAATAAATTGGTAACAGAATTTCTGAAAAATTGGTAACAGATTTTCTGAAATCACAAAACCACAGTTGGGTCACCTGCTACTGGCCTCCCTTCCTCTGGCATACTGTAATGTATAGCTGGAAACTGTTTTCTTTCTCTTTCAACATCCACAGATAGCGTTTTTTGGTCAGATCCAGACCAGCCTTGATTTCAATGTCCACAGACATCTGGACCGGCCTTAATTTGGCCCAAACATAGATGTCTATGATTGGTTAAAATCATGGACGTCTATGTTTCACAAGTTTGGACAGTAATGTGTGCAATAGTAAGTCACATCAGGGTTAATGTATATTGTCACAACCATAACACAGCGACTTTATCTCTCTTACACAACCCATCACAGAGGGTATTTTAGGCACATGTACAGAAACTTTATCAGCGTGCGTTATGCAATTGGAGAAGTCTGTGGGCGGACATGGTCAAGGTAGGCAAGGGTGCATGGGAACACTTTCCAACACACAGTGCCTGTGCCTAAATGGAGGCCCTGTTCTGGAAGCAACTACTGGGGGACTGAACATTTACACATAACATAGCATATAAGTTAACACATATCATAACATAACACATAACACAGGCTAGCGTATAACAAAATTGCCATTTTATCCATAGGAATTGCTTTTACGTTCAACTTGTGTGGAATTCCCAAGCTATTATCACTGACATTATATTATTTATTGGCTTACATTGTAAATGTCAATGACACTCCAGACAGTTGTCTTTCTGTACCAAGGCCCTTTTGTGTTTATCTAGGAAGGATGGGCCTCTCCTTTAACCCAGAATCTGTAAAGGCCTGCTAAAGCCTTTGGGATATCTTTGTGTGTTCTCTTCTGTCCTCTGGCATTTCTCAGTCTTTTTGTATATCCACAAAAATGGGATGTTTTCCTCTCAATTATTCTCGACAGTTGACTCAATACTATAGTGGCTAGTGCCACAGTCAATAAATGCCACTCCAGAGATTGTTGCACATTCACTTTCCTCAGTCAGTGCAAAGTAAGGGTATCATTTTCAAATTTTTGGTAAGATTGTCATTTTGGCCTCTCCTAAATGAAGGCCTAATATGCCAAACATGTAGGCTAAATTCACAGATTTTCTTCTCAATGACAAAGCATCACAGAAACCTCTTGCACGATGAGTTGTCATGTTTATGACTACACCACTTCATCAAGTGTTTTTCTCAGCAATCAGTCCACTATTACTTTTGATTGCTTGAGTAAAACCCTGCCAATTTATTCAGAGCTGGATAAGTGGAATATAAGTGGAATCATGCGTTGCATGAAAGTGCTCCATCAAAATGTGCTTCAATTTATTTTAATCTAGGCCAATATCAGATGGGCTATAAAGGGGCTTTATTCAGTGTTTGGGCCCCAGCTCCTCAACCCTGTCTCTTGACCACACCCTTACTACATCCTAGTTTAGACAACAACCAACTTTGCCATAAAAGCATGTGAAAATAGGTAAACCTCAGACCTCAAGTCATTATTTCCGTACTTACCTTTCGTGTCGCTCAAATTTAATTTGAAAAATATTCAAATTGATAAAGATGGAGTTGTGTCCCTTCCCCGCCACAAGAATGGCTGGGGTATTGATGGAAGGTCTTGCATTGATGTGCCCTTGAGCAAGGCACTTAACCCTAATTGCTCCTGTAAGTCGCTCTAGATAAGAGCATCTGCTAAATGACTAAAATGTAAATGTAAATGCATTGTCCAATTTAAGAGCCTGGCCCTGCAGATCATTTTATGGATACATTTCTTCCAGGACCTATTTCATATGAATAGGCCATGGCTTGGTGGACAGCCTTTGTGGGCTGAAAGAGACAGTGATGTGCTGAAGCATGTAAAGTGTATGTGGAATATACTGTACAACTGTGCAGGCAGGGCTGGTGATTCAGCAGACTGTGGCCCTGTTCGAATACTTTAGAAATGCATTCTTGATCCTTCATTCCATCCTTGTTTCCTTGCGGTACGTACCCAGATCTTTAAGTGAGTGGATTGGTGAAAACAAGGTTACCACCTTATCACTTTCCCCAATTCAAACAAGGTTTATTTCGGAGGTATTCGAACTGGGCCTTTGACTAGTGTCAGATACCCACCAGCAGAAATACTGTACCAGTCTTACCAGCACCAAATCTCTGCTGCTTTAAACACACGCCACCTTCACCTGGAGAGAACTTGGGCCATGAAATGCAGAGGCAGACAACTATTATATTATACTATAATAGTGTGTGTGTTAATTTGACAGCTTTCTGTTTTGACACTCACTGTGTCAAAACTGACATGGCGCTCACCCCCTCCCACCCTAGGAAGTAATAGACTGGCCCCTGTGGAATGTGCCCAATGCTGTCTGTGACACCAGCGTTGGCATATTTCTATCATGCTGACTGCCTGCCACCCAGTGCGGTTCCTGTTGCCATGTTGGCATGGCAGATTGCGGATTAGTGATGGCAAATGTGCTTATTTGCCCCCCCGTGTTTGTTGTTTACATTGGCAGTGTTACAGGCTTTGGTTTTTCCATTTATATTTAGAGGTTGGACTTTAGCAGATGGGGCGCACCGATTGGTGTTACACCTGTGCTGGTTTGTCATCTCGTTAGTGGGAAGGTGTTTCACCTGTGCTGTTTCTTCTTGTGGGAGCACTCCAGCCCATCAATTCTCTTGTTGGGACTGGTGTATCTCCTAAACAAGATTTTGGATCAGATGTGTATGAACCCTTTGTTTCAGAGGGGTTCGTGTCTCTACCGAGTGGCAATTCTGTTAGGAAGCCAGTGAAGGTACTGCAAGACACTGGGGAAGCCCAATCCTTCATTTTGGAGGGTGTTTTGCCTTCGTCTGAATCTTCATCAACTGGTTACATTGTGTTAGTACAAAGCGTGGAGATGGGTTGCATGGGAGTTCCTTTTGTATAATGTGGAACTCGAGTCTGATCTTGTTTCTAGTTCCGTTGTCATTGGAGTGTGGCCTAGCCTACCGGTGAAGGGGGGTCTCATTCGTTTTGGGAAAATATTTGGCTAGAGGGGAGGTCGTGCCAAATCCTGCCGTTTGAAAGGAACCTGATGGGTTACCAGAAAAGTACCCTGGAGTGTTCCCAGCGTGAGCCGTTACACATGCTGTGTCTAAGAAAGTCGCTGGGAGCAAGTCTAGTGTTGAGGAGGATGTCAGCGACCCCACCATGATCGATCTGTCCGAGACGTTTGTGTGATCCTGATTTCGGTAAACCTCCTGAGTTGACCTCTCCTTTGAAAACCCCAAAGGTGAGCGAGTTTGTAGGACCGCTGAAGGAAGATGTGTTTGCCAGCGGGTAAACCGAAACAAGCTGTACCGGTTATAACTTTGTAGCCTATTCTTGCTTTTGATTAACCTTTCAGCAGGGTTCTGGTGGATTGAGTTAGTCTTTTTCTCAAAGCAAAGAGTGGTAACCAGTTTCTCTGAACCATTATGGGCACTGCCACTCATTTCCCTGAGGCCATTCCACTGAGGAAAATCACGGCTCCCAGTATTAAGGCCCCTGGTGAAATTATTTTCAACGTTTGGACTTCCACAGGTAGTACAATCAGACCAAGGTTTGAATTTCATTTCAATGGTCTTCCAGAAAGTGCTACAGCAGTTGGGTGTTACCCATTGCCCCCTCTAGTAACTACCACCCAGAGTCTCAAGGTGCTCTTGAGAGATTATCGGACTTTGAAGTCTATGTTGAGAGCTTACTGCTTTGAGTTTGAGAGACTGGGATGAAGGGGTCCCTCTTGTGCTGTTTGCAACGCGGGAGGTTGTTCAGGAATATCTTGGTTTTAGTCCGAATGATCTTGTGTTTGGACATCATGTCAGAGGTCCTTTGAGCTTGCTGAGGGAGAGGTTGTATCAGGGCGACAGCTTAAACACAGAAACAAATCTTCTGTAGCACATTAGCGCTTTTCGATACAGATTGCACTGCACCTGTGAATATGCCAGTAAGAATATGGAGAAAGCGCAAACGAAAATGAAAGTATGGTACGATCGAAAGGCCCAAAACCGCACTTTCAATGTGGGTGACCAAGTCCTGGTTTTGTTGCCCGTTCTGGGGTCACCGTTGCAAGCTCGCTTTTCAAGCCCTTACCCCATAGTGAAAAAAAGTGGTCATCTGGATTACTTTATGGCCACACCGGAGCGCAGGAAAAAACCCAGCTGTGTCATGTCAACATGTTGAAACCATACTTCACCCGCCTGTGGCCACTGCTGTCACCATTGACTATAGTCTTCCTCTAGAGCACGAGGAAAGCCCAATACACCCTGTGCCTGTTGGACGAATGAGTAACTCCGAGATTCTAGACAACCTTGATGTCTTTTTGGCACACTTGTCTCCGGAGGAAAAAGCAGACATTGTTGCACTGCTTTTGGAATATCAGGGTTTATTCTCAGATGTGCCAACTCAGACAAATGTACTCGAGCATGACATTGACATTGGGGACTCTGCCCCAATCAAACAACATGCCTATCAAGTAAATCCTGAAAATATAAAAACTCTGATTTTCAGGAACTCAATGCCGTTACTAAGTCGGACTCATACCCTTTGCCCAGGGTCGATGATTGTGTGGACCGTGTTGGCGCTGCTGAAGGGATATTGGCAGGTCTCTCTAACTGAGCGAGCCAAAGAGCTTTCTGCTTTTGTCACTTCTGATGGTTTGTTGTCCTACCTTCGTCTTCTGTTCGGGTTACGAAATGCAAAGACCCTTTTGTTCTCTGCACCGGTGCTAGCTGATCCAGATTTCCATTGTCCATTTGCTTTTTACACCGATGCCAGTGACGTAGGAGCAGGGACTGTGCTCCTACAGAAAGACGATAACAATGTTAAGCACCCTGTGGGGTACTTTTCAAAGAAATTGGCCTCATAAACACTACTCGACTATCGAGAAGGAGACGCTCGCTTTGTTACTGGCTCTTCAGCACTTCGAGGTTTATGTATCGGTCTCTACCACTATACCGATCATAACCCTCTCGTTTTCCTGCAAAAGACGAGCTACATGAATCGCCAACTTCTTCGCCGGAGTCTCATTGCGGAAGTTTCCCCTTGAAATCAGACATGTCTGTGAAAGACAACGTTTTTTTGTTTAGGCACATTTTGTTTTGAGTGTACGTTTTGCCATATTGGAGATACGTTTTGGTTGGGCTCATTCCAAGGGGATGAGAGTTATAGAAACGTATGGGGAAGATTATTTTTTTATTTTTTTAAAGAAGTGGCCGTTTTGTCTTGTATTTCATTGTTGACAGCCAGTAGACATCATGTTTATATTGGAGAAGGCGACTCATTTAAGTTGATAATGTTGTGAGATGGAAGTTTTATTTTCTGTTGGTTGTGAGCAAACTTGTCCAACAAAAATATAAGCTATATTTGTTGTCTTAAGGGGGAAGGTGTTACAGGCTTTGGTTTTTCCAATTATATTTTGAGGTTGGATGTTAGCACGTGAGGCGCACCGATTGGGCGTCACCTCATTAGTCAGTATGTCTTACACCTGTGCTGGTTTGTCATTTCGTTAGTGGGAAGATGTTTCACCTGTGCTGACCCAGTGCTCCAGTTGGCTTGAGAGATGTGGAGGGTTAACACCTTTTTAGTTTAAAGAAATGATGAAATAGTTTGGCAACTATCAATAATAATAATATGCCATTTAGCAGACACTTTTATCCAAAGCAACTTACAGTCATGTGTGCATACATTTTTACGTATGGGTGGACCCGGGGATCGAACCCACTACCCTGGCGTTACAAGCGCCATGCTCTACCAATTGAGCTACAGATGTTTAATCTTTCAAATGATATCAAGCTCAACTATTTATATATTTTTCTGATGACGACATGGATGTCTCATGGTAGTGTGGGGTATGCAAAATGGGTAAACTTTGCATTCAGGTCCAAAAAGTCAGGTTCTGACCACTTCTACCATGGGCAAACATGTATAGAAGGTTTCGTTCAAATCAAAAGGGGTGCAGTCAGAAAGTGATTGAAATCATATGGAAAGGCCCTATAGGGAAGTTGTCTGTTCAGTTGTGGGGGAACTATTCTTTGGACATTGAAGTTAACAGGGTGAAAACTAGAGAGTATGTACTTCTGACAGTGTTCTTTTTACTCTGTTTTTTTCTTCTTCCCTGTGCTATGCAAGCAGTAAGCACTGTATATGGGCGGCAGGTAGCCTAGCGGTTAGAGCGTTGGGCCAGTAACCGAAAGGTTGCTCGTTCGAATCCCCGAGCCGACAAGGTGGAAAAAAATCTGCCGCCGTGCCTTGAGCAAGGCACTTAACTCTAATTGCTCCAGGGTCGCCGTTGATAATGGCTGATCCTGGCTGTAACCTCCACTCTCCAAGGGTGTCTCGGGAGATGGGATATGCAAAAAACACATTTCCAATTCACATGCGCATAAGACAAATGTGTGAAATGGGACAAATATAAGCCCCCACCAAATTATTATTACGCCTTAAAGGAGAGGTTCTTTTTTTTACAACCAAATCTCTATTTTTGCTGTAAATGGCATGTTACAGAAGGGTCCAGACACCTTTTTTGTGATTTCACATGTTTTAGAGAAACGTACCCTAAAGACCAAATCACTTCCTCATCCTCGTTGTGTAGTATGGGGCCCACGAAAACACATGAACAAAGGCTCCAAAAACACCCAAATAGAAACGGCAAAGCTCTCAGTATAGTGATGCATGTGTTTAGATATTGTACACTTGAAATTGTCATTCCGAACTTTACCCGCGACGTTATGTTACATTTTGTTGCGACTCTAGCAATACCTTTTCTTCCATTTTGCAGGTAACTGCCAAAATAATGAGTAAATTAGGGATACAAAGTATATTGAAAGCATGGGGCGCTTCCACACAGGAAGTTCCAGACCGCATTGAAGCTGTTTTGGCAGTTCGTGGTGGCCCAATGCCCTATTAAGACACTATATGTTGGTGTTACCTTTTTATTTAGGCAGTTACCTGTAGCAGCAGGCTACACGGAGAATGGAACCACTCAAGTCGCGCAAAAGGGAATATAACATTGTGGATAAAGTTCTGAATGACAACTTCATGTGTACAACATCTAAAGACCTGCATCACTAAACTGAGAGCTTTGCCATTTCTAAAAGGACGTATTTGGGTGTTCTTGGAGATTTTCTTCAGGGCCCCCATACTACACAACGAGGATGAGGAAATGATTTCTGTTTGTGTAAGTTTCTCTAAAACATGTGAAATCACAAATGTCTCTGGACCCTTCTATAACATGCCATTTACATAAAATAGTATTGAAAATGATTTTTCACAATAATCATTTTCTAAAACATGATTTTCTCTCTCCCTCAGACTGTGCTCCGGCGGAGCAGGAGAAGCTGTTTGTGCAGAAGCTACGCCAGTGCTGCGTGCTCTTTGATTTCCTGTCGGACCCACTAAGTGACCTGAAATGGAAGGAGGTGAAGCGGGCGGCGCTGAGCGAGATGGTGGAGTACATCACCCACAACAGGAACGTCATCACAGAGCCCATCTACCCAGAGGTGGTGCACATGGTGAGTGTCGGCAGACTGACTGGAAGAGAGTAGAGGAGACACCCTTAAGGCCAGCCCTGGCTGGGGTGAATATGGCTGGGTAGAGTTGGTGTTATGATAATCTGTGCTACCGCCCAGAATGTGCTACTTTCTGACAATCTGAGCTATCCCTCAGAATGTGCTACAATTTTGTGTCCCGGTCCCACTGTTCAGAATGTAATAGTTACATGCTGACCAGACCGCATGCGTGTGCATGTTGATTTTGTCCAGACGCTTTCAGGACACGCAGGTTGAAATATCAAAACGAACTCTGAACAAACTATATTAATTTGGAGACAGGTCGAAAAGCATGAAACATTTATGGCAATTTAGCTAGCTAGCTTGCTGTTGCTAGCTAATTTGTCCTGGGATATAAACATTGGGTTGTTATTTTACCTGAAATGCACAAGGTCCTCTACTCCGACAATTAATCCACAGATAAGTGTAAACTGAGTTTGTTTCTAGTAATGGCGGCTTCTTCTTTGAACTTTATATGGCGGTTGGCAACCAACTTTAAGGTGCATTACCACCACCGACTGGATTGTGGACATCAGTTCATCTTTCAATCACCCACGTGGGTATATGCTGCTAAAAACCAATGAGGAGATGGGAGAGGCGGGACTTGCAGCGCGTCAAGCGGCTCAAATAGAACCAAGTTCTATTTTAGCGCCTGGCCACACAGACGCTCGTTGATGCGCGCGAGCAGTGTGGGTGCAATGATTGAATAACATGTATGTGTACATTTGTTTTGCGACGCGAGTGGTGTGGTCAGCATGTAAGGGTAGCACGCTTTAAAAACAGGATTCCAACAAAGAATGCAATACCATGAGAATCTCCATTGGGGCTAGCACATGCTGAGCAGTCAGGTCAGAATTATTAACCAGATTATTAGCCATTTACAGGGATTTGCTTTACATTTGAGCCCCACAAATTAAGAAAGAGAGATGGTTGCAACGCTAGATGTAACAGACAGGAATGGGGTTAATTTCAATTCAGTCAATTCAGAAAGTAAACAAAATTACAATTTTCATTTTTCCTCATTGAAGAGCCATTGACGTAACAAAGCCATAAAAAAACTAGGAAGCATGAAGCAATCCTCTGCATGCGTGACCCATCAAGTTAGCCTGTCGTGGTTTTTAATGTAATAGCTCTTTGTGGCCCGGCATAAGGCTGTCATGGATAAGTGTGTAAACGAAGTGAGCCTTTTTAAGTGTCAAAGCATTTCATTCCTGATTTTAAAACATTCAAATTGTAATGCTTTGCCTCACCTCCCTACTGAACTCTCGCTAGTCTTCCACCTGTCAGCAGTCATCACCCAGATTCACTTTGAAGTGTTTCTCTTTTCTACATCAAAGCTTCCATAGTTAGCGGTAAAGCTAATGAGTTATTATAAGCGTTTGACATTTTAATTAAAAACCTCTGTATGAATAAATATATTTTCTCTTTTTAAAAGCTACAGCTGGGCTTGAACTTGTTTACCTAGCTAGCAGCTCTGCAACCAACGGAAATAGCAGTGTTCTATATCCTCAGGGCACCTGCACTGTCCCATGATCTCTTTACTGGGAATAGCAGTTATAGCTAGCATCCCACAGGGCAAGTCAGTTGATGTTGGAGACAAATGATAACACACTTGGGTTCAGTGAAAGATGCAGAACTGGTTGAGTTGGCAGAGTAGATACTACGGCCCTATTTGAATACTTCAGACATGCCCCCTTCCTCCTTTGTCCCCTTGAGGTAAACACAGATCTATAAGTGACTAGATGGATGAGAACGTTACCACTCTATCACATTCACCTATTTAAATCTGTGATTAGTTTAAGTAAGGTATGAAGGAAGAATCAAGGATGCATTCTAAAGTATTCAAATAGGGCATGTATCTTTTTGACAATACTTCAAAAACATTCCCAAGGCTATCCTGTTACAATCAATGTAAAATGAAGCAGAGGCCAGTCAAGTGTTTTGGCATCATACTGGCCTTCATCAGGGTGATCTACTGCATCTGAATATGCTTTGTTGTGCTTTTCCCACCCTCAGTTTGCGGTGAACATGTTCCGAACGTTGCCTCCGTCCTCCAACCCCACAGGAGCAGAGTTTGACCCAGAGGAGGACGAGCCTACACTTGAGGCTGCATGGCCACATCTCCAGGTACCTAGGGCATCTGATAACCCAGCTCACATGGCCTGGGCCGTGTTCATTCGACAAACGGAAGAAAAGACGGAAACAGGGAGGAACTACCTGGTTTTGTCCTAAACACTCATTTTTGTAAAGCGTTTTTTCTGTTGCATGTCCTAATGAACACCCGACCCTGCTGTTTGATTTAAGTGCTGCAAACGTTACGTTTAAGTACAGTGCTGTATAATGAAAGCATCTAATCAGTTTAGCATTAAAGTTCACTGGACCTTCCCCGGCTCAGACCAAAAGAGCACATCTGTTTATTATGGATCATTATGATAGGATGTTATATTGGGGAATTGCTGTGATCTTACAAAACATTTTTGTAAGGAAAGATTCTGACTAGCATTTTGGACATTATCTTTCTTGATATGCATTCAGCAAATTATGCGTTTGTAAAAGGATTTCTTTCTTTCCAGCTCGTCTACGAATTTTTCCTTCGGTTTTTAGAATCTCCCGACTTTCAACCGAACATAGCGAAGAAGTACATTGACCAGAAATTTGTGATGCAGGTAAGAGCTGAAAGAACCATGGATACCTGCTCACACAGTTTTATTGTGATAGCAAGAGTTTCCAAAGGGCATTTATTTCTTTAAGTGTGACGTCATATGTCCACAGCTTTTAGACCTGTTTGACAGTGAGGACCCGCGGGAGAGGGACTTCCTCAAAACCACCCTCCACAGGATCTATGGGAAATTCCTGGGACTACGGGCCTACATCAGAAAACATATCAATAATATATTTTATAGGTGAGTTTAATTTCAGCCGACTGTTTATTCTTAGATATTTTAACACCTCAAATCGATTGCTAAAGATTCAATGGTGACTGTTGGTCTTTTTTTTTGTTTTATCACTACTAAGAAATGTATGTTTGGCTGTGTAACTGAATGAAATGTCTCTGTTTTGACAGGTTTATCTATGAGACCGAGCACCATAATGGAATAGCAGAATTGCTGGAGATACTCGGAAGGTACACCTTGAGCTCTATTCCAGCGTGTCTTGCAGTGGAGTTTGAATAGTTATTTTTGACTTTTGTCCAGTCTCATGATGTCTTCTCGACTGCAGATAGGATCTCTAACCATTCATGGTCAGCTGTTGTTTATCCTTTCATATTCTGTTACTATTTTGAGTTCAGTTTAAATTATTTCTAATAGTATTATTCTTATACAGGGTCTAATTATTGTTTCTCTCTATTTCACAGTATAATCAATGGGTTTGCCTTACCACTAAAAGAGGAGCACAAGATTTTCCTGTTAAAGGTCCTGTTGCCTTTGCACAAAGTCAAATCACTTAGTGTCTACCATCCGCAGGTAAGCCCTTCATTTTTTTCATGTTTAATGTCATGTTCATTAGGCACATAAGGTAAGAAAACGGACTGAAACAGGGAGGGACTACCTTTACTTGTCTAATAAGAAACGTGTGTTTTTCATTTTCCGTTGAAAGACATTTAAAAACATTTTCCATTGTGTAGCCCTAATGAACATGACACAGTTCTGATGATTGTTCTACTATCAGCCATGCTGCCCTGGGCGCGGTTCAGGAGGGTGCGAAGTTACAGAACGTTCATACAGAAATGCATTGTGTGGAACAGACACGATTCTGTCGTGAAGAATAGGGAGTCGTTTCAGCTCTATTCAATTAATTTTGATCTGCAACTTTCTGAAGGTTTTCCCCTTTTTGCGCTACTGAATACACCCTATGGAAATGGTTGAGTATAGGCCTAGTTCTGGCCAGTTGGCACACAGTGGTGCTTGTTTCCACTGAGGCCAGGCCTGTTCAGGTAGTGGGTGGGGGGGGGGGAGGTGAGAACAGTAGCCTGGCTGCTACAAGCTAGCTGTAATCAGATACCTGAGTTACTATGGCGACAAAAGTCCTTGTCAGGGGCCACTTGCTCTTTCTCGCTCTCTGGGCCGGCCTGTGTCTCTGTTTCACTGTATGACTGCTGTCAGCCAAGTGGACCCCTTGAGCTTGTGGAACAGTTCTTAACCTGCTCTGTGGGCCATTACATGCTCTGTGGGCCATTACATAGCATAGTAGTTAAATTAGAGCTTGATCTACTGTGTTAGCGTTTGTTTTGACCCAGCCTAATGCAAAATGAGAACACCCCTTACAGTAATTATCGTTAGTGTAGTACATTGTAGTTATATCGCAGTTATACTGCTAGTATTACTGTGTCCAAAGTATTACAGTTACTACACTGTAACTGAAACTACGTGACTACAACATTTTTTTAGGGACTATTGTCGGTGTGAATGTCAACACAATAAGACTGATAGGATCAGCCAGAATCACCACTAATTGTGTCCTATATTGTTTTTCTTCCCCCTAGCTGGCATACTGTGTTGTGCAATTTCTAGAGAAGGACAGCACTCTCACTGAACCAGTAAGTCATGTGACATTTCTCCTCACATTTGTGAATTGCTTGTTTATTGTATTTGATATTTGACCAGAGGCTGAAGGTCTATTGCTTATTCCTTCTGTGTTGTATTGTATCATCTGTAGCTCAATTGGTAGAGCACGGCGCTTGTAACGCCAAGGTAGTGGGTTCGATCCCCGGGACCACCCATACGTAAAAGTTTATGCACACATGACTGTAAGTCGCTTTGGATAAAAGCGTCTGCTAAATGGCTTATTATTATTATTATTATTATTATTATTATTATTATATCAACCCATTTATCAAAACTGATCGGTTACACAACTTTTATGCTCATTACAAGTTTATCAATAATTCACTGATTTATTAATAGCATATACTATAAAAAGGTCATATTAAAGTAAATGTTAATGCTTATTCATGAAAGTCATTATAAAGTGTTACTAACTAATGTATTGGTCAATATCCACTCCACTCACTGATCATTGTCTGCCCAGGTGGTCATGGCCCTTCTCAAATACTGGCCAAAGACTCACAGCCCCAAAGAGGTGATGTTCCTCAACGAGCTGGAAGAGATTCTGGACGTCATCGAGCCATCCGAGTTCGTCAAGGTCATGGAGCCCCTCTTCAGGCAGCTGGCTAAGTGTGTGTCCAGCCCGCACTTCCAGGTGACTGACCCTCTAACCTCATGCCACGGGAACCCTGCTATTGGTGCCGTTTGATCTTTAGAGTCATTCTAGTCCTGTGGGAAATTACATTTCAGTAGTGAAATGTTTTTAGTTGGTTCCTAGAACTAAGCAGTCCAATACAATGGGAACAAAAGAGAACCAGGAATTTAACGGTTCTGCCTGGATCGGCCCTGTAGTAGAGAACCGACATAATATACAGTCAGGTCCATAATTATTGGCACCCTTGATAAAGATGAGCAAAAAAGTCTGTATAACATAAATAATACAAATACTGAGCTACAGTATATTGGATGCTCCAAAAACTTGGGAAGTTATATTATTTTATAATACAATTGCCCAGAGAGATTTTGTTTAACAAGTAATAAAAAATATCTAAAAAAGATAAGGGTCAAAATATATGTATATGGCTTCCCTTTCCGTTATCATATTGAGTGAGCTGTCCTGACCGATGGTGCTGTATGCTTGTGGTCACTGTGCAGGTGGCCGAGAGAGCTCTGTACTACTGGAACAACGAGTACATCATGAGTCTAATCAGCGACAACGCAGCCAAGATCCTGCCCATCATGTTCCCGGCACTCTACCGTAACTCCAAGACCCACTGGAACAAGTAAGTAGACCCTTCTCCACTTTGGCCGTGTTCATTAGGCACCAAACGGAAGACGACAAACTGAAATATGGAGTGACTACCTGGACTAAAATCTCATTTTTCATTGCAAAACGTTTTCCGCTTTGTGGCCTAATCAGAATGCCCCATTGGCCACTTACTTATATTTCTCAGAACATGCTGTGTCAGCCAGACATGGGTTTAAATACTATTTGTTTTCTATCAAAAACGTTTTAGCTGCACTTGATTGAGCTTGCCTGGTGCAATAGAACCAATATAATAGTCCCAAAAGTGCACACCCATCTGGCACTCCAGGCAGGCTCAATCAAACCTTCAGTTTTGAAAGATTTCCAATAATACTAATTAGAACCCAGGCCCCTTGGAAATGTATTGAATTTAGCTGAATTTGAAAGACATTGCCACTTAAAAGTTCAACACCTTACCAAACTGTTTTTATGTGGAATGAGAGTTCTTTAACATTTTAAGCTGCTCTGAAAGTGCAGTGTTGAATGCGGGGAGCTCAACATTAGTACAGACCTACTTTACTCATTCCCCTGAATCAAAATTTAGTTTGGGCTGGAGGACAGGGCTGCCCTTTAAGACATGACAGTACACTGACTTACTTCTGTGTGTGTGTGCAGGACCATCCATGGCCTCATCTACAATGCTCTCAAGCTCTTCATGGAGATGAACCAGAAGCTGTTTGATGACTGCACACAGCAGTTCAGAGCAGAGAAAAATAAGTATGTATACAATATTCTCACTTTAGATTAGCATAATTTTCTGAAGTCTTGATTGTAGTTAAGACTATGGATTATGACGTAATATCATTTACATTAGTATATGGCAAATGCTGACTATAGATTGCAATAGTCGACAGTCTGCATCACAATCTAAACTCAGCAAAACAAGAAACGTCCTCTCACTGTCAACTGCGTTTATTTTCAGCAAACTTAATGTGTCAATATTTGTATGAACATAACAAGATTCAATAACTGAGACATAAACTGAACAAGTTCCACAGACATGTGACTAACAGAAATGGAATAATGTTTCCCTGAACAAAGGGGGGTCAAAATCAAAAGTAACAGTCAGGATCTGGTGTGGCCACCAGCTGCATTAAGTACTGCAGTGCATCTCCTCCTCATGGACTGCACCAGATTTGCCAGTTCTTGCTCTGAGATGTTACCCCACTCTTCCACCAAGGCACCTGTAAGTTCCCGGACATTTCTTGGGGGGGGAATGGCCCTAGCCCTCACCCTGCGATCCAACAGGTCTCAGACGTAAGTAATGGGATTGAGATCTGGCTCTTTGCTGGCCATGGCAGAACACTGACATTCCTGTCTTGCAGGAAATCACGCACAGAACGAGCAGTATGGCTGATGGCATTGTCATGCTGGAGGGTCATGTCAGGATGAGCCTGCAGGAAGGGTACCACATGAGGGAGGAGGATGTCTTCCCTGTAAAGCACAGTGTTGAAATTGCCTGCAATGACGACAAGCTCAGTCCGATGACGCTGTGACACACCGCCCCAGACCATGACGGACCCTCCACCTCAATCGATCCCACTCCAGAGGACAGACCTCGGTGTAACGCTCATTCCTTCGACGATAAACGCAAATCCGACCATCACCCCTGGTGAGACAAAACTGCGACTCGTCAGTGAAGAGCACTTTTTGCCAGTCCTGTCTGGTCCAGCGACGGTGGGTTTGTGCCCATAGGCGACGTTGTTGCCGGTGATGTCGGGTGAGGACCTGCCTTACAACAGGCCTACAAGCCCTCACTCAGTCCAGCCACTCTCAGCCTATTGCGGACAGTCTGAGCACTGATGGAGGGATTGTGCGTTCCTGGTGTAACTCGGGCAGTTGTTGTTGCCATCCTGTACCTGTCCCGCAGGTGTGATGTTCGGATGTACCGATCCTGTGCAGGTGTTGTTACACGTGGTCTGCCACTGCAAGGACGATCAGCTGTCCGTCCTGTCTCCCTGTAGCGCTGTCTTAGGCGTCTCACAGTACGGACGTTGCAATCTATTGCCCTGGCCACATCTGCAGTCCTCATGCCTCCTTGCAGAAATCCTAAGGCACGTTCACGCAGATGAGCAGGGACCCTGGGCATCTTTCTTTTGGTGTTTTTCAGAGTCAGTAGAAAGGCCTCTTTAGTGTCCTAAGTTTTCATAACTGTGACCTTAATTGCCTACCGTCTGTAAGCTGTTAGTGTCTTAACGACCGTTCCACAGGTGCATGTTCATGAATTGTTTATGGTTCATTGAACAAACATGGGAAACAGTGTTTAAACCCTTTACAATGAAGATCTGTGAAGTTATTTGGATTTTATCTTTGAAAGACAGTTTCTTTTTTTGCTGAGTTTAGAAGCTTCAGAAATGAGCTTTAGTGTTTTTAAATGTTGTGGAACTAAACTATTAATTTAATACATTCTATTATTTAGCTGTAATGAATAATGAATCATAGGTTTGATGAATGTAATTTGACCTGATATTATGGCCATAGATGAGCAAATTAACCCTGATATGTATCAAATTACATTGTTTGAGTTTCAGATATGGTTTTGTATAAGGAAATGTTTTGATATTCTTATTTAATATGAAATTGCATATAGAATATAATATTTTCTATTTGTTATTTTAGTTGTTCTACCAGTTATCAACACATTGTTCAATGTTCCAAAAATATAATGCCCAGTGGTTATTCTGTGACTTTAGCTAATATGCTTTCTTTTTTTTGCCGTGGTATTGAGTATCGTATTGATTCTTCAATTGAATGATGTCACGTGATTTATGGCTTTGTCCATAATTTTTAGTCATGACTATGCCCCCATAGGATGACAATGACCCCATCCACAGGGCACGAGTGGTCACTGAATTGTTTGAGCATAAAAATGATGTAAGCCATATGCCATGGCCGTCTCAGTCACCAGATCTCAACCCAATTGAACGCTTATGGGAGATTCTGGAGTGGCGCTTGAGACAGCGTTTTCCATCAACAAAACAACAATTATGGAATTTCTCGTGGAATAATGGTGTCTCATCCCTCCAATAGAGTTCCAGACGCTTGTAGAATCTATACCAAGGCGCATTGAAGCTGTTCTGGCTCGGGTGGCCCAACGCCCTATTAAGACACTTTATGTTGGCGTTTCCTTTATTTTGGCAGTTACTTGTAGATTGTAATGACTAATGTTGATGATGATGACGTTTGTCTGTTTCATCCTATAGAGAAAAGGCCAAGTCAAAAGAGCGGGAAGAGGCCTGGATCAAGATTGAGAACCTTGCAAAATCCAACCCACAGGTGAGTGAGGGAAACATCTGCACTAAGACTCCCTTCACAGCATTGTGTTTGCCATCTAAAGAGCTGAAGTTGTTTTATTTTCTTTCTGTACCCCTGAGTACTGTTTTGGTATGCTGTGCAGAGCATGACCAGTTTTTTTTTTTTTATCCTCAATTTTCTGCATGCACTGCAAGTGATTGGTTGGGGGCCACAGCCAATGAGTTCAACCTATCTACTCAATTGCATTCCCAATATATTGTTTTATTTTAGGTAGTGTGCTAGTGTGGATATTGGAACAGAGTCCTAGTGTAAGGTAAAACAACATTTTATGATATCTACTCTTAATCACGGTACTAACGCACAGCTTTTAGATTTAGAGGCTTCAACTGAAGGATCAATGTCTGTACGTCGTCCATCTCTATTATAACCAAATCACCAATAGAAGCAATGACTCCAGCATCAGAGTTTCTAACCCTTCTGCTTATCTAACCTCTTCATCTTTCTTTGCATGCGACAAGTTCCCATTGTTTTTGTGTTACATTAGTTTCTTATGTGTGTTGATTCCACTGGCCACAATTGACCAGTAGCAATGGAGTCTGATGGTCCATAGAAGTTCATAGGATAAAAAAGACAGTAACAGAAGAAGCCAATGTTGACTTCTGTTTATCTATCAATGCTGTTCTAGGATCAGGTTCCCTCTGTACCTGTAGTCTTATTCATTTATGATCTAAAAGGCAAAACTGATCCTAGATCAGCTCCTACTCTGAGACATTTTATGACTATGGGCCCTGATCTCTCTCTTCAAAATGGGCGTAGCTCCTATAGAGAAGGAATGACAAGTCAAACCATGGACTGAACACTGGGATTAAGTACATTTGTTATGTCTATGTAGAGTATCTACTAGATCTCCCTTGCATGGGGGTAGTCCTGGTAGCTTATCACTAACATTTCATCAACTCTTTTCTCACCTTCCTGTTTGGTGCATGGCTGGCTTGGTGTTTCTTCTTGAAACTTGGATTAGTTCATTAGCATGTTGCATGGTTAGTGTTTTTTTGTCAATTGGTGACAAAGTTTACAAGCATGAATTTGTGATGTGAACAAGGAGTGGTACTTGTGGCAGACTTGGTAGTGCCTAACCGAAGGGAAATACTGTAGTTACACAAGCGAACTATTTTATTCCTTTGGCGCGAACTGTCTCCTCTAACACTTCCCACCCTTCCCTTGTTGCAGTTACAACAGAGAGACCAGAGGAAAGACCGTCCTCTGGTGCGGCGCAAGTCGGATCTCCCTCAGGACATCTACACCGCAAATGCCTTGGAGACCCATTGCCGCGCCGACGACATGATCGCCACCCATGATGGGCTCTAGGTCTGCCCCTCCTCTCTCTTCTCTTCTGTCCAGTCCCCTAAAGGAGTACCCTCGCCCCTCCACACCCCACTTTCCCCCCCACCCACACAGCACATTCAGAGTACTGGCCCAGTTTCCCTATCTCACCGGTACGCTGCCCCCCCTCCCTCATATTTCTGCTTTCTCAGGTGTTTATGTTTGGGGAAGGGGTGGGTCGCAACTCTTTTAGCTATCGGTCTTGCAGAGTCATTTTTTCCCGCTGAATTGTGCATAAAACAGTATATCGGCTCATCCCTCCCTGCTCTTACTGTACGAATGAAAATGGGGAAGTTTCGTTCCACCTGCGACATCACAAGCTCATGTGAAATGCACAACAAACGTAGAGAGCAGAAACTGAATTTGGGAGGCTCCGCTCGTTTCTTCAGTTTTCTGTCAAGGGGAAACGACAAAGAACAGAGATTGTTGGATGGAGGTGGAGGACTGTTGGATCGACTTTCCGGACGTTATTTTTTTAAATCCCAGGGACATCTGCCAGTGCCAAGACCGTTTGTTATTTTTTCTGTTTCTGCGTCTGTTTTTCTGTCTGTGACTTTAACAAGGGCGACTAGCTAGGTAGAGCCTGTTTGCCTTCATTTTCTTTGGCCTCAGATGTTTTGACGATGAGTTTCTTGTTTTTTAATAAGCTGAAGAGCAACAGGACTGTCTGAAGTGACTGATCCGTCTGTTCTGATGAAGTCACTTTGTGACCGGGATTGAGGGAGGAAGGGAGGTTCTCTGTGGACACTGGACTCTTTACACTACAGTTTGTGCCATATAAATGTTTTATTTTGTATTTCCTTTCTCTTACTCAACTGTTGAATTCCATATGCAATACGTGAGCCGGATCACAGAAATATTGACAGTTCAAACAATGGTACTTCTTATTTCATACGGAGAAACACATTGGGTGGTTGTGTTAGATTCCACCCGGTTTGTCAAACTCAAAAGCCTCTCTTAGACATTTCAACATCTGTAGCCAGAAGGCACGCACTGTAATGCTGCATTATGCAGAACATTCCAAAAATGTTTAACCTGGAATCAAGTTATGACACCTTACCTGGGGGTATCACATAATGAGTCGTTATTTGGGATGCAAGGTGATTTGTAGATCAGTGATTCTGCACAGCCTGACTGCAATGTAGTCCATCTTAAATGCACACCCCACTGGGCACACACTGGTTGAATCAATGTTTCCATGTAATTTCAATGAAATTACGTTGAACCAATGTGGAATAGACGTTGAATTGACGTCTGTGCCCAGTGGGATCTTGTCCTCAGATCCAGGCTTCAGCAGGAGCCGCGCAGTCCTGGAGCTACTTGCTAGTCAAGCGTTGTCCTCCATTAGTTTCAGAGGTACCCATGATATCACATGTCGTGTCCCTCTCCGTTTATTGAGCTACCTAAAAAGCACTTCCTGAAAACTTGAAAGATGTGACATGTTTGTGTATCTTCAATGAAGCTCTGTTCAGAATCCCGTTGAGTCTATATGTGCAGTCTATTCTGCTTTCTCAAGTCAGGAAGCTGTCAAATCCAGGATTGCTTTGGCCCCCTTGTAAATGTTAGTGTCCGTCTCTTGTACCACTGTTTGAACTTCCAAATGTAGCATGTGTATCCAATCTGTAATGTCTTGTCCCTGGTAACCTAGCCTGGATGCTAGTTTTAGCATTGTAGCTGCCAATGGAAATGGCCAATGCTAAAACAGATTGACATCGAGGCTTGGCAACTGTATTATTCATAATTGCGTGAATGCAAAAGGTGTAAATTATACAACCAATGTTAGACATGTATTTTTTCCGCTGGAAGAATGGCACTCACCAAAACAATTTCTATCCTAAAAGAATATATTTGCTTTTATATAATGGTATTGGTTTGGAAAGAGATTTTATCAGTTTGCATTTTCTTTGTGTTTGAACTGTTGTGGTTTGTTTTCTTGTTGACTCGTAAAACAAGTTAGATGGAAAAAAATGTTTTGGTGATTGTTTTTCTAAATTCTTTGCTTGACCGCAGCATCTTTGCAGGATTTTAGTTGAACATGTGCTTTACAAAACATAATAACTTGACAAGTGTCCTTTTGTATGTAACCTGTACTATATGGCTTCATTTAATATTGTACATATGATTTACTTTGTTTTATGTAGTGTGTTAGATCTAGATTTTGTACAAAACTGTCCTCTGTACAGAATAAAACATCAATAGCAATGACAAGTCGTCAATGTGGCACATACATTCTTCTTTTCCTCTTTCCCTTGTAACTTTGCATTATTAGAAATAACGAGTCATATTTTTCTTTTTTAATTCTTCAAGGTTTGTTCCCTATTCAAAATGTCTGTGACCAGATTTCAGTCCATAGCCTTTGTTTTTCTCAGTTTCAAGTGGTGTACATCTATATAGAATGAATAAAGAGAATATTTGAATTTATATTTTCAACCATACTTCAATTCTGGAGTCATTTTACTTAACGGGAAGTCTCAACGTGTACAGTTATGCGTTTTGACAGTTTAAAGCATGTATGATTGACCTGAAATAAAAAGGTTTGCAAAAAGACTAATATAGTAGTATACTGTAAATTGGTCTCAACTTTTTTGCAGTGTGCGGACAGCACTTCTGTCACTGCTTTTATAGAATTGTGATTTTTCCATAATGTCTCTCAAATCAATCTAAAGAGTACATTCTTAAGACTGTCCAATAGAGCGGGAAATGTTGTAAAATGTAATTATCCTTTTTTTGTCTTACTGTTGAGCTGAGCATACTACTGAAATGGAGTTGTGACAATTCATTGTAGGTAGCATTATTGACCACAAGAGGGCTCCAAATAACCTATTTGGGGTCTGAATGAATGAAAATGACTTGCTTCAGGCAAACTACAATGTAGTGGTTATGGACCCAAAGCCACCACCTAACTGCCTGATCGAAGTAAAAGGACGTTTTTTTTTTTTTTGTATTTGAGAAAATATAACGCAACCTGTAAAGTGTTGGTTTCATTAGCTGAAATAAAATATCCCAGACATTTTTCCATACGCACAAAAAGCTTATTTCTCTCAATTTGTACCCACATTTTTTAACATCCTTGTTAGTGAGCATTTCTCATTTGCCAAGCTAATCCATCCACCTGACAGGTGTGGCATATTGAGAAGCTGATTAAACCGCATGATCATTACACAGGGGCACCTTGTACTAGGGAAAATAATAGGCCACTCTAAAATGTGCAGTTTTGTCACAACACAATGCCACAGATTTCTCAAGTTTTTACGGAGTGTGCAATTGGCATGCTGACTGCAGGAATGTCCACCAGAGCTGTTGGCAGAGAATTTAATGTTAATTTCTCTACCATAAGCCGCCTCCAACGTCGTTTTAGAGAAGTTGGCAGTAAGTCCAACCGGCCTCACAACCGCAGACCATGTGTAACCACGCCAGCCCAGGACCTCTACATCCGGCTTCTTCACCTGCGGGATCGTCTGAGACCAGCCATCCGGACAGTTGATGAAACAGCATTATTTCTGTCTGTAATAAAGCCCTTTTGTGGGGAAAAAAAACAAATTCTGATTGGGTGGGCCTTGCTTCCAAGTGGGTGGGCCTATGCCCTCCCAGGCCCACCTATGGCTGCGCCCCTGCCCAGTTATGTGAAATCCATAGATTAGGGCCTAATTTATTTATTTAAATTAACTGATTTCCTTATAAGAACTGTAACTCAGTAAAATCGGTAATTGTTGCATGTTGCATTTATATTTTTGTTCAGTGCATTAGGAAAGTATTCGGACCCCTTCACTTTTTACACATTGTTACTTTACAGCCTTGTTCTAAAATGGATTAGAATGTTTTTTTCCCCCCTCATCAATCTAGACACAATTCCCCATAATGACAAAGTAAAAAGAGGTTTGTAGAAATGTTTGCAAATGTATTACAAATTAAAAACCTATATTACATTTACATAAGTATTCAGACCCTATACTCAGTACTTTGTTGAAGCGCCTTTGGCAGCGATTACAGCCTCAAGTCTTCTTGGGTATTCCTTCGACCTCATGGCTTGGTTTTTGCTCTGACATGCACTGTCAACTGTGGGACCTTATATAGACAGGTGTAGTCCCTTGTAGCTCAGTTGGTAGAGCATGGCGCTTGCAACGCCAGGGTTGTGGGTTCGTTTCCCACGGGGGGCCAGTATGAAAATGTATGCACTAACTGTAAGTCGCTCTGGATAAGAGTGTCTGCTAAATGACTAAAATGTTATGCCTTTCCAAATCATGTCCAATCAATTAAATTTAGCACAGGTGGAATCCAAATTGTAGAAACATCTCAAAGATGATCAATGGAAACAGGATGCATCTGAGCTCAATTTCGAGTCTCATAGCAAAGGGTCTGAATATTTATGTAAATAAGGTATTTGTTTTTTATTTTTAATACATTTGCAAAAATGTCTAAAAACCTATTCGCTTTGTCATTATGGGGTATTGTGTGTAGATTGATGAGGGAACATTTTATTTAATCATTTTTAGAATAAAGCTGTAACGTAACAAAATGTGGAAATAGTGAAGGGGTCAGAATTCTCTCTGAATGCAGTGTGTATGTATATTTCTGTATATGTATATGTACAATTCTGTTTTTATTCATATAAAATGAATAATACGGATCAAAGAATGCAACAATCTCTCTTCAGGGCACTATATCAGGAGGACTACATAACAATTGGGGATAGTTCACCCAAATTACAAAATGACAGTGCCAGGGAAATAAAACCAAAGCATGGATTGCTGTCATACCTTGTCCATAGACTGCTTACAGGGTAAGGAATCCAATGTGTAATTAGAGCATCACAGCACCTACTTTGTCATACTGGATCTCAGGATTTGTTAGGCTGTTTGTTTCTTTATGGAAAGACATGTCTTTGTATTCTATAGCCCCTATGTAGCTATAGCTCCTATGTAGCTATAGCCCCTATGTAGCTATAGCCCCTATGTAGCTATAGCTCCTATGTAGCTATAGCCCCT